CGGGAGCAACTTCCCGAGCTTGACACGGTGACGTACGTGGAGAAGATGTACCCGGTGCCCTGGCTGGCCAAGCCCACTTTCCCGAAGTGGGAGAGGGGCTGGCACGACCCGTATCACTACCGGAGCCCTCCGAAGGAGGAGATGCCGGACTACAAGACGCGACCTTGCTACGAGTTTCACCGCAGAAGTCGCCTGCAGGAAGGTACCAAGTGGCGCGGGCGGTGGGCGTGGCTTGGTCAAATACGTCTTCGCTTTTGGTACACTTTTGCAAAACCCTTTTGAACACGGGGAGGGAGGGCCAAGCAAAAGCACTGGCCGGATTGTGACCCTTCGATTTTCCTAATGGAGCCAGCAACTGGGCAGAGGTAAATTGAGTGAGTTTGATCTATCCAAATAAGGAACAGGACTAATCTTTATTTGTATGACAAGGTCTTATGCTCTGGGAAAAAGTTCAACAGTTACACAGTTGCCTATTTTGATATTATTTTTGTGCCTTCAAGTCAGTTGTGACTGTAGTTTTCTTGGGAAGGTTTTTTGGAAGTGGTTTGTCATTGCCTCCTTCCTAGGGCTGAGAGAGAGTGACTGGCCCAAGGTCACTCAGTGGGACTAAGAACTCAGGGTCTCCCAGTTTCTAGCCTGATGACTTAACCACTGCACCAAACTGACTTTCTGTGTATCTGTAGATACCTGTAAACAGATAGCATGTAAATGTTGCACATAAACTAGTCCCATGTTATTCCTAAGTTAGCCATACTGGTCTAAGTTGTGTAAGGTTAGGGTTAGATCATTTGCACAGGAACTCAAGTAAGCCAGTGCCCATTTATAATTCCTTATTGTACTTATACCCTACTCCTGCTCTTAGGAAGTACTTTGTCTTCATAATTGTTCTTTTTCTACTCCTGTAACCAGATGTAGAAGTATATAATATTCATCATTCTTGGAATGAATTGAGTATTGTATGTAATATGAAAAGCTTAGGAAGTACTTTGTCTTCATAATTGTTCTTTTTCTACTCCTGTAACCAGATGTAGAAGTATATAATATTCATCATTCTTGGAATGAATTGAGTATTGTATGTAATATGAAAAGCATGTATTAGTTTGTGTGTGTGTTAATTAATGCTTATATTTATTTTGAGGTGTGAAGCAAGCATTGTGGCTAACCAAGGCAAAGCTAATAAAAGGCTTACCTCCCCCAATTCTTAACATAATGAATGACGTAGCTCACCAATTGGAGGATCAGGATGAGAGAATCCAGAATGCAATTTCTCATGCTTGCTTTTGGGCTGGCACTGAGGAAGATATTTCATTTGAAAAATACAGGTATGTTTTTAGCCTAAGTTTTCTTCTTTGTAGTTTCAGGATTGTTGGTGCTCTTTATCACTGATTGTTTTAAAATCAAATAAGTATGTTTAACTGGATAATTTCTTGCAATACCTTCCAAAAATGATGTGGAAGAAATAAATTATGTATTCTCTGAGATACTGCTTGTTATACCGTCAGTGGTTTGTGCTTGTAGAGGTAAGCAGTTCATCCTCTTAAATGACTCAAAAATGTTGAGTTGGATGTATATATAATAAGTATTATGCTTCCATTTTTAATTTTATAAAAGTGGCTTTTCGCTATCAGGAGTTTGGGAAACACTTTCCTGAGATTTTACTTTGTGTTCCTTGCATAATAGCCATACGGCTGTCTCAGAATGCTAAGCTAGGCAACTGCTGGTAGTTATTATCAGTGTACAGGTGCTTTACAAAGAGGAAATAGGTAAATTTCTACTCCAAGATATATAGAGGTCAGCAACATGGTGCCCCAGTGAAAAAAATAGCTGAAGCCTCATGAGATTACAAAATCTCACATACTTTTGGGAGAGAAAAATTCACAGGATCCCAAAGGTACAGTAATGTTAAAATCTAATACAATTTGGACATCTTGTGAGATTTAGGTTATTCTTTAAAATCATGTTTAGTTTTTGGTTGCTTTGGCTAAAAGTGTTACTACCCCCTGATCTGTCACTTAAAGAAAAAAAATAGTGAAAAGGTAAACAAAACGAGGCAGAAGTGAATGCAAAAAACCTGTATTATTGCAGTGATATGATTTCATTACTTTAAATATATGACTGGACATTTTTCTGAAAGGAAAAGAAGGATTCTAGAAAGTTTTTGAAGGATAGGTATTTTCTTAACTTTGTTTAAATCTGAACAAGTGAAACAATAGTTTGAATGTATTCTCCAGTTCCACAAAAGCACAGGATTAATTGTAAAATTCATCATAGCATCTCAGCTGGAAATAATTGAAATAGTTTCTAATTACTTTGAGAAGTATTCAGATGTACACTGTTTCTAAATAGGTATGAGGGCTGTTGAACTATTCTCTGAATTTGTCTAGTTCTCATCTGAAGTGATCTTGTGGCATTAGATTCTATAGATCAATGGATGCTGTGTGGGAAGAATTTTGCAGTAAATTTAATATGGTCATTCAATATTCTGTTTTGAGAGAAGGTGTAAACATTTTATTTCTATCTCCCCAATCATCATTCTCTCTGTCTATAACTAGAGAGAGCATAATAAATTATGGAAATATGTATAATTCATACTTATAATAAAGTTACAATATAACAAAGTCTATACAAAAATTAATAGTTGAAGTAAGTAAAAACAATTGGGTTAATAACAAATACCTGGTATATTATCTTACGTACAGTTGTAACTATTGCTTTATTTTGTGTTTGCTATTTGCAAATATTACAATAAATATCAGTTAAGAAAATCCTGATACAGTGAAACTTCTGGCTTGTGCTTCTGGATCTAACTATCCTCTTGTTCTGAAGTCCTGTGCTTCTGGAAGACTTGCTCCATTTGTGCAGGTCAATGACTGTCAAATATCCCTTACTGAGTAAAAGAATGATGGCCCAAGACTACAGAGTAACAGCTACATGGGAACGAGGTTAGTTAAAACTGTAAGCTTTCTTTATGACAAGCATTAATTAATAATTAATTAATAAACTGCAGAAAACTAAGGATAAATATCTCAGATTCTGCAGGAGAGTCAGTGACGTCATAAAGTTGTCTTCTGTGTCATAAAGGTTTGTCCTGCATAGAGGAAAGGACTTGTTTCTTCATACCTTAAGTGGCTCCTAGGGTTTGATTTGAGGGAAGGGACTTCTTCACTGATCTACTTTGAGTAGATAGTGAATCTGAGATATTTATTGTTGGATAGAGGGGATGTATGTGTCTGTGGGGGAGACAGTCCAGCTCCTGGGATGGATTAAGTTCCCCACCAGTGATTGAAAGTCTACAGAAAAGAAATGTACAAAGACAGAATACATGCTTAGAGCACATCTAAAGTGCTTTTGTTTTTAAAGAGCAATGCTGCTGAATTCAGATTTCAGATGTGGCTTTTCTGATGGTAGCTGGTCCAGTGTGGGTTGGTAGATAGATGTTTTCTGATTTCCAGTCTAGGGCTGAGACAGTGTGAGTGGCCTAAAGTTGTCCAACCAATTTCTCTGCCTTAAGGGAGGACTAGAACCTGGGTCTTCCTTCTCCCAATCCAGCACTTTATCCAGTACATTGCACTGCCACACATGAAACATGCATATCTGGTATTAACTTTGGAATATGTTGCAAGACATTAAATATTTCTCAGTAATACTTGTTCTCAGGAACTTTGGACACATATATGCACATATTAACAATCTCTGTCACCAAAAGTAAAATTAGGGCTTGTATGTTGTTCTGTACTGGTGATGTGGAGTCCTTGGGGTTTTTTCCCTCTGGTAGTTCCTTGATTAGGGTATTGTTATATATAATACAAAATAGAAAAGAAAACCCCCACCCCCACCAACGCTGGCAGGGCATGCCACTGCATATAAACAGAGAGCAAACCCCATCCCATTCTAGCACTGCAGATGTTACCTAGCCAGGTAACAAAATGTTTGCAAGAACCAAGCTCAGAGAACCCCAAGGACTCCACAGTTCAACCCTGAGCTACACATATTCTCTTCTGTTGATACTGGTGATGATCTTAGAGGTGAGAAAGGATAAAATAGATTGGCACTTGATAATGTCAAGTTGTCTTACTATTCTGGTTCTCCATGATAAATTACAGAATTGAGAAAGGAGCAATAGCTGTCCTGAAGTGTTCTTGAAATGTTTTTTATCCCTGGTTTTTATAATATCTGGCTTATAACAAACTAATGTAAGTTATTTTCTTTTACAGAGTCTGCTCTCATTCAAATTCATATTACTCATGGAAAGCTTTTGAATGCAGTAAATTGTCTACAACCTATAGCATCCAATGATGAGATATTAGCCACTGAAAATTATGCTTTAGAAACTTTCTATCCTATTTCACCTATAATTGATCTTAGGGAAAAGAATGTGTACAAAATAAAAAATGACACTGGTAAGCTGAAACTTAATCTCTGTTTCATAATTTCTTAATTTGTAGGTGTGATTCTACTAAATGAAATATGAGAGTATAAGGGCATAAATACAAAGAGTTGAGCGAATGCAACTGAAGCATCAAATTTCCTAAATGATGATCTGAAAAATGTAGATTATATGCAGATGGTCTTCTTTTTCAGTGAGTTGTGATCTAGTATTAAATTGTTGCCTAACTTATATTTTAGGCTTCAACAAAGGTTACCCATATCCTTATCCTCACACTGCATACACTGTTGAAACTGGAAAAAGGGAGAAATCAGAACATTTTCAAGCCAGAGTTTTGATGTTTGCTTTTGGGAATGCTCTAGCCAAGGCTAAGGAACTCTATGGAGTAAGTATTATAATTTGGGTTGAAAAACTATGGCTTATAATAACTGATCAGGAGATGCTGGTCACTTTTGCTCTTGACAGTTCCATTAACTACACTTCACAAATATTGTTCCATTAACTGTTAACTTGAACTAAATACATGTGTGTAGCTTCTGTGCTTCTTGATTGGAGGCTTCCTAGAAAAGAGTAGGATGGAAAGCAATACTTGCTAATCTAGTGCATGTCTTGCATCGTCTCTGTTGGACTTGCATTTTACTGACTGGCTATGTGAAGGCACATAATCAGTCAATGTGAAGGCACTGTGAGAGTGGTGGAGCTGACAGTACTGAATAAAATGACGTAACAAATGCATATTGCTGATCATTTGGATGTTATGACCATAGCGTATAGTTTTGGATTTTAGCAGGCAAATGGAATTTTAAATTTTGTGAATGCATGAGGTAACTGGATACACTTTTGAGTTTCCTATCTTATAGTAAATAATTTTCATTTATTTGTAATTCCTGAACAGTAATGACTACTATCAGAAGAGAAATTCGTGAGATTGAAATGGCTTTGCATGTACCAGCTAGTCTTGGAGATGGCAAAAGCCAGCACTGATTTTCCTCAGTTTGTTAAGCTGTGGAAACTTGATCTGGTCTTTGGCAAAGCCAGCTGTGGGTGTCCTGCTACATATAAGGTCAAATCAAATGTCATCAATCAAAATACAGTCAGGAATTTGTGTTTGCTGAACCTGTGTGTTACTTATATTCAATTGCTGACATGCTATCCTGACTTGATTTGTTTTTTTTCCTTAGCAGTTTGATAACCATATACCTGATTGATGCCTGGTCATATCTTCCTAACATCTGTGATAGCCCAGTTTGTCTACTCTTAAGCTTATTATACAGCTTTTTTTTTTTCCCTTCCTTGCCCAGGATGAACCCAAGGTCTTGGAGAAGCCCATTGTTGTTCAGAGTATTGGTACAAATGGCCAGTCTTTCCAATTTGTAGTGTTTCAGTTGAATACAACAGATTTGGACCCTAGCAATGGTGTTAAAAACCTGGCCTGGCTGGATGCAGATCAGCTTTTGTTTGAGGATGCCAGGAAGCACCCAGAAATCAAGAGGAAAGAAGTTTTGGTATGTTGATAAAGGTGAAATATCTTGTTGACCAAATTAGCACCAAAAGAACTTAAGTTCTAGCTTTATAACTTGGTCAGAAAATGTTTATTATCTGTTAGATCTGTTTGGCTTTTTCTCCAGAAGCTCAAAGTGACTTATGTCAGAGGAGTTCAGTCCTTATCCCCAGAACCACAATACTATGAGATAGGTGGGCTAAGAGGAAGTAAGTGACTGGTCTAAAGTCACAGAGTAAGTTTTCATGGCTGAGAGTGGAATAGAAAATGAGTCCCTAGTCCTAATCCAATACCTATACCACAATGGTTCATATACAACTATTTTTAAGACTAATGTAGTTACGGTTATTCAAGGCTGGATTACTGTATCATACCCTATGTGAAGCTGTCCTTATAGCTGGTCTGAAAACCACAACTAATCCAGAATGTAGCCGCTAGGCAACTTACTCTTAACATAGTATATTTGTAGTAAAGAACTGTTGATCTTGGGATGCAAAGCTTGGAACCAGGTTCTCTTGACATATAATGTCCAATTATATCAGTCACCTGTGCTCTTTAGGAGAGCCCTGTGTTCTGTGCTACGGCTTACCAACTGCTGTACGGTATGCTGGCATCAGTGGAGGACAGCCTTCTCTGTGGTGGCCTTTGTCTTGTGAAATGGCGGTTTCCTATTATACACCAAGCATCTTTTAAAATCCTCTCATTTCCCAGCCATATGTATGCCAGCTTTTTAAGTTTTGTTTCTAATTGAATTTTTAAAGCGCTTCAGGAATATTTGCAGTGAATATAAATATGGTTTTAATATATTTAAAATTTTAAAAATCCTTCGTCAGACTGAAATAGGATATAGAAATCAAATAAATGAAAAAATAAAAATATCTTGAAAATCCTTTGATAGAAGCCACCCCCAATATTAGAGTGCTATTCAAATATTCAAATCTATATAATTCATTATAGTGTACTACAGTTATAATGCATTATGACATGCTTTCAAAAATGTATGGAATCTCTTTAATACCGGGTAAGAATTCCTAGTGTGTTTTGCCATATGCTGGAAATTGTAACTGGTTAGAAGTTGGCTCTGCCAGAACATTAGCAGAGTTTCCAGAAGAGGGGAACAGAAGAAAATATGTTTCTTGAAGGGAAAGAAAGAATATTCCATTAAATGCAGGAACACATTGCAGTGTTTAGATGCTGTCCTAATCGGTATGCCAGACACTGAAAAAACAGATGTTCTCTCTACAGATTCCTGCTGGAATACATGGCTACAAGTCAGACACCTTCAAGAAATTCCTGGCATTCTACTTGCATGGTGTTGTGTGAACAGGTCTCAAGGATTCAACCTGCATTTTCCTATTTCTTCCTGAAATATTACACTTGAAGTACAATTAACACAAGATTGAAAGATATGTGTAATATGTGTAATTTTTAATAAAGGATTTTTTAAAACACGTGTTAAAGCTTCATACTTTAAAGAATTAGAGTATAGCTAGGATGTGACATAATATTCCAAGGGCACAGTGCCCCAGTTATGGGAGAAGAGCTAATTAGAGAGTCAAAACTTCCAACCGCTTTGAAGGTATTTTAATTCACAATAATGGATATTCAGCTGGAAGGTATACCAAATTAGGAAAAAAATCACCTAAATTAATAAATAAAATTAATTAATTTAAAGCAGATCTCAGTGTGATGAATGGGTTCAGGAAGCTATGAAAGGTGAGAGTTGCATTCCTGCCTAAATATAAGGAAACATGCTTTTAAATTTTGTTTCTGCTAAACCATGTTCAACCCAAAACAGGCAGGTTATCCAGAATGTGATTGTTTGTTCTGGATTTGAAACAAAACACTCCTGCTTTGAGCCATAAAAGGAGAAAAAGTTTAACTGGTGGTTCCTATTGTGTAGTAGGAAGTCCTGTAATGGTCCTTTTTGGGGAATGAATCTGAATTCATATTGATCTGCTGCAAAGAGGTTTTAGGCTTACCAAAAACTGATAAGGGTAAATTGCAACACGAAGTTATTTTCCACCCAAGCTCAAATGTGTAACTTCTCTAAAATGGAATATTAACTATTTTGTAATGTGTGTGTACGTATAGAGGATGCGTTTTTGGGTATTGCAAAGCATGATGTTCTCTCTTACATAAATTAGCAGAATTATTCAGCATAAGATTATAAAGGATAAAGAACAAATGCTATTGAAAGAATAAGCATAGCTGCTGCAAAGAGAAATCCTTTCCAACAGCATCTTATTAAGCTTAACAGGACAGGTCCTTGTTAGCAATTATTTCAAATTATAGGGAAGATTAATAACTCACGATGGAGAGGATTTCCTAAGAATCTTTCATTGGATGCAATTTCATAGATAATCCAGAATTATAAGAATATTAATGTGGTTAGGTTTACATAAAACAGCAAATAATGAAAAATATGAAAATCAAAGTTATCCAAAAAGGATTTCAAAGGTTCTTTTCAGACTTGGTTACTCTGTTTGAAATTATGCATAAACTACTGAGACCCCCCACCCAAGTTTTGGATCAGAACACAGGTCACTGGCATTAAAAACTAGGTGCTTGTGTATTTATTTAAATTTAGTGTGGCCATGGCTGGAATACCATGATACTCCTCATCTTAAGAGGATACTGTGTAACGAAAAATGCAAAAGGGCAGCAAAAAGTTATGGTGTGGAGAAAGCCCTGAAAATATAAGTGGGAATATTGTTTAGGAAAAGATTTAGGCCAATTTTTCATGCAAAAACTTGAGAAAAAATGTGATGAGCGCCAAGTTAGATGATTATAAAATGGAATTCAACCACCTGCATTAATCACTTGCTGCCAGTTTTATTGCAATATTTATACCAGGTTTAGATGCCTCTGCAAACCAGTGGCTAGGGAGCAACAGTGGGAGACACATTGCCTTGTTATCTGATAGGTCATTGCATGGGAAGACAAGACCAGATGAACCTTCTGGACTGATTGCAGAAGAACTTCAGATGCCTGGACCTTTCTACATTGTGTTGCATCTTTTAGAGCAATCCTGCACTGACTTCAACTCTTTCTGAGATCTTTTATTAAATGTATATACCACTTCAGTTTGATTGGAATCTTTTAAAAACATATTAACATGCCTTCTCATGATAAAGCAAGAGGAAGCCAAAACAGTGGCAAAACTAGTAATCTGCTGAAAAGCTAGTCACTGAAATGTCAGGCGCTTCCAGCTATATTATATAAATTATGCTTACCCAAGGGGGAAAAAATCCATTTAGGATTTGTAGAATTCTATTGTTTGTATGTAATTGAGAAGAAGAGTGATCTACCTTTGTTCAGTTCATATTTAGGTAGCAAATCTATATTAGAGGTGGCTTTCCAACATGGGGGAGGTTTGACTGGAGATGTGGATAGAAATTGGCTGTACCAGGCCAAATATATCAGTTTAATCTTGTATCACAGGTCTTTGAAGCTGGCATGCTTTAACCACCTCAGACAGACCAGCTGGTTGGATTCTGACAAATGTCAATATGATGTGACAGGCCAGCGAAGTATTTGTGTAACTTCAAGCAGAGATGATGGTGGCACTTACCAAACTGTCCTATCGCAGTTGGAAAGCCAGTAGACCAAACAAACAAATAAGCCCGACTGTTATACAGGGAGACCTGGCTGAGCTGTTTGTCTCTTCTGGATATAAAAAGAAAGTGCACTGACGAAACCACCAGGAAACCATCAGTATTCTCAACATGCCTTTCCAGCCTCTTGCTTCCCCCTATTATGAGTGCCGACAAATAGTCTCTCTTCCTCCAGTTTCTCGGCTGCAGTGACAATGCTAAGGCTGGCCCCCAGGGACCTGCCAGTGTGTTTGTGATGGCTTTTGAAGCTGCTCCCACTCATTGATCTCTCTGTCTGAACTGTTTCAACAGGTAGGCATGGCTCAGATAATACAACGCATGATGAAACCTGTATGCTTTTGAAGGGAGAATGGTTCCTTAGCACGCACCCTTGATGTGAGGCTAGTATGAAATCAAACGCTACAGGCTCTGCTAATAGCTCTACCAGAGGGCTGCATGTGCCCACCGACAGCTCAGTCTTATCCTCCAGTTGCACGCACTGAAAGTGGCAAAAAAGCAAAATCAAGCAGACAATACATCCACATACCTGAGCAGTGGTTCTTCACTATGATGTGCTTCAGCCAGGCTCTTTCTGTGTTTATTTTTAGGCCTAATGCTACATTAAAAGACAGCAAACCTCTGAAGGGAATTTGGCATATGTTATTCCCCCCCCCCAAAAAAAAATTGTGGAAAGGTAATTCCAGCAACCACTTTCAAGTACAACTTGTCCAGGGTTTTTTTGATCCATCATGTTTTCTTCACGTGGTAGTGGCATTTCTTGCTGCAATTATTATGGCAGACCGCAACCTTGGTTTTTTAGCATGCTGCAGAACAATTTGTAAACACAACCCACCAATTCTTATACTACATGCTTCCATTACTATGGAATCCCAAATTCATCTTCACTGTAAAAACTCTGTTTTTCCCAGCTATCTAATCTTAAAACAGCTTCCACAAATCTGAAAATTACTCAGTTGGAAGAGAAGTTGAGAGCTCCAGGATATTCCTTCCATGTCTTTTCAATGGAAAAATGAATTGCTGTTCACAGGGGAGGGAGGGAGGAAGGAAGGAAAGAAGGAAGGAGTACAAGATGAGAAGGCTGAAGCAATATTAGCTGTAGGGATTTTGCTAACCATGGAAATTCCAAGAGCTGCATTCTAGCTGTCGAAAAGAATATATATACTAGAATACATGGATGAGTGTGAGAAAGAAACAGACTGCAGAACCCAGGCTCTAGGCAAGTGGCTCCCTTAAGATCTTTTAAACGGGAGGTCCAAGATTAAATGATTAGGAGAAAGGAATCTGAGAGCTACCTTGGGGCTTCAGACAAAACATCTGCAACTCCATTTAGCCTCCACATGTACTGCTAATTGCTGCTTACATTAGATGACCAGATGCTTAAGCAAACCACTTCACTGCCTAAAAAGAACTGCATTTCAAAGTAAATCACCGCAAAGCATATGATAGTTAAACATAACAATAACTCAAACAAACTTGCAAAAGAAGAAACAAAATGCTTCAAAGTACATCAATGCAGAATCAAAACAGAAAAATTCAAATGTTTAATAGCTTTCTAACCATATACTATGAAGAGGAAGTGCTGTGCCAGTTCTACTAACTACAAATACAATTTTTTAAAAAGATATGATAAAATCATAGAGTTGGAAAAGCCCATTTAAACCAACACATTCAATTCCCAGCTTAGGGCTGGAATCCCAGTTAAAGCATCAATTTTCTACATGCAGCAAATGGGAGCTTAACATCTGAGTCATTTGGTTCTACTGTCAAACTGGTCTTAGACAAGTCTTTTTTTTTTAAAACAGATCACTAGGTTTTAAATAGATACATAGATAATCTTGATCGCATACCCAAGAAAGTAACAATTATAACCGCGAATCATACTCTCAACATTTCAGGAGAATTCCGAGCCCTATTACTCTCTAACTCAATTGTTTCTCAACCGTGGCAACTTGAAGATGTGTGGACTTCAACTCCCAGAATTCCCCAGCCAGCA